AAAGAAATACTTTAATAGAGAAAATTATAATTTTGCACGTGAAAGTCTAATAAGAATTTTTGTTCAAATATTGAATTAAACACTATATTTGGATAAATTAAACAAGAATACCTTTATTATAAAGCCTAGTTAAGAGGCTAAGAGTAATTCTTTTGACTTTATTGTTTTTTAAAATGCCATCTAAACGTATATCAGCATATAGTCACGCATAAGAATTTTTCAAAGATTTTTTTGTGATAATGGTGTTTTAATATGCCGATTTTGTAATTATTCTATTAACTAGAAATATAAAACTACAATTATTATACATATGAATACAACCTCTCATAAAAAAGCTAAAGAAAATGCAAGTTCTAGACAAACAAATTTAATTTAGCAAACATTAAATTCAACAATTAATAGAAACAAATCAAGAAAATCTATAATCAACGATCTAGTTTTGGCATTTGCTAATGCTAATATACCTTTGGAAAAAGTTAATAAACTTCTTCTATGGATTAGAGAGTATATAAAGGAGGGTAGTATAATTTCTAAAGCAGATACTTTATATCATCAATATCTTCTAATTGTTTATAAAACATAATTAGATCAACTAAAAAAAAAATTTAATAATAAACCTGTTTTAATAATTATTGATAAAACCACTGATAGTAAAGTATGAAGTGTAGTTAATATATTATTTAGCTATCAAGGTTTAACATCTTTAGTAGTTGTAGAATTTTTAATAATTCTACAATTGGGCAACTTATTATTTGTATCTTGGTTGAATAGAATATTCTTTTTAATTTGCCATGCTTAATAGTTTTTGACTCTGCTATATATATGAAAAAATATGTTTGGGAGGTTTTAAAACCAATTATGTCTCAAATTATTCATTTACCATGTTTAGCTTATACCATATTTTCACGAAATAACGGGCATGATCATTATTTTGAATAATGACCAGAATTAAGCTTAATTTAGGCTGAAATTCATAATTTCACTCTGCACGTTATTTCACGAAAATACGGTATTATAAATTTGATCAGGTATGTAAAAATTTAAATTATTGTATTATTAATATTAAATTTTAATAACTATTTATTATTTTTTAGTGATACATAGATCTCAATTTCTCATTTTAATAATATATATATATTATTAACACATTAAAAAAGCATTTACTTTTGCAAAAAATCGACTTACCAGATATCTTAAACACTTAAAAAATAATGGTGTATTAAATCCAACTAATATTCCTTTATCAAATGCAACCTATTGAAACTTATGACTTCAAATAGCTTTTTATATTGAAGAATACTTAATATATATATGTGATTTTTATATTGAAGAACAAAAAGAAAATTTATCAAATTCTATAGATCTTATTGTAGAAATTCTTTCTGATTCTCAAAAATATGGATGTATACAACTATATTTAACCTTTATTAAATATTATGGTTAACAATTTGTCTATGATTTAAATTATTTTTAACAAGAAAACTTACTCGTATTTCTTTATATTAAAAGTTATATTGAACAACTAGGTAATGTAATTAATGCTAACAAAACTTTAAGTAGTCTTATATATCCAGTTTTAAACATGTTTCAAAAATTTAATACAAGTCCTGAAGTGTTTTATCCAGTATTTTAATTAGCATATAATATGGTATCTAAAAAATATGATAATCATATTCTTAACTATCTAGCATGATTATTATTTAAAGAAGCTTGGGTATTTGACTCATGTTTTATAAAATTATCTACTATTAGTCATAATATTACTTCATATAAATATATTGTAGAATTTTCTAACCTATCTATGAAGCTTTTACAAGAATGAACAATTTACTATAATATTAATTTAGTAGAAATCGAATTTAATAGTTTAGATAAATTTTGAACTAAAATTTCATATCAATTACCACTTTTAAATATAATAGCTATAAAATATATTTGGCTACCAATTTCATCTTATAGTATAGAACGTAGTTTTAGTATTTATAACAAAATTTTAAATAATGACAGAACAAATTTAAGTGAGAAATCACTTCGGGCACTTAATATTATATATTATAATAGCAATTATAATAAATAAATAAGAAAAATTTTATATCAGTATAAACTAGATTTTTTAACCAAAACAAAATGAATTTTTTGTAAATCAAAATGAGATTTTTCTGTGTCTCTGGTACATATGTATGTAGAAGGTTAGTTAGGATTAGTTTGTATAACTACATATTGGGGTAAATGCATTGAATTAAATTGCTAAGTATAAGTACATATGTATTTTAATAATTGATTATTATTACCATGATGCCTAGTTTGTATTTGTACAAATGAAAATTAGTATAATTGCAATTGTGTAATTTAAAATATAATACAATAAATATTTAAGGAAATTATTCTTTAGAGTGGTTACTTCAAAAGTGATTTTGCTCTTGTATTTATCTAGCATATATATATACTATAAATATGTCTGAACATCAAATCAGGTAATTAAAAAAAAAACTTTATATAATAAGCCAGATCTAAAGCGGTTATATAATAACTACAAACAAATTATTTTTCTTATAACAAAGATAAGTTCTTTATTCATACCAAACTACAATAATAGTTATGATAATAGCTATGATAATAGCTATAATAATGACTGTAGTAATAACTATAGTAATATATGCAAAAACAATTATGATAATGATGGTAATAACCTTGATAATAATCTTGGTAATAAACATGATAACGATTATAAAAATAATAATGTTGGTACAACTAGCAAGCAAAGTAATAGAAGTGATATTTGAGACTTTTTTAAGAAGGTAGTATAGCATAAGGAAATGAAAACAGCCAAATATAGGGTATTAAATTGCCAGTATAAAGAGTTTTCTTGTAGATATGGGAGCTCAACCAGACCATTATGCTGCTACTTAGAAGGTGCATATTGGGCCCAATATGTTAAAATAGAAGATTATCACAAGAAAAAAACAAAGACACAAAGTGAATATGATACTATTAAGGATATGTTTAAGGTGAAATCTTTCTTATTTTTTTTTCTACTTTATTTAGACCAATCTAATTTAAAAAACTGAAAAAACTTATATAGAATTCTAAAGACTTCTCTGCTATTAGATTGGCTAGTAGTGTTGATAATCTAAAACTTTGGGATATGTTTGTCACATGGATTGTCAATTAATAGTGCCTACTTATGATAATTGAAGATTCTAAATTAATCAAGATTGTAGAATATTTGAATCCCACAGCAAAGTTAGTTAAAAGAGATACAATTAAAAATGTAATCATGTCATTTTATTACTTAGAAAAACAAGAATTGAAGGCAAGATTTACAATTATATTATATTTTATATATTAAATATTTGATATTAATTGCTTTGCTATATTTAATTAATTTAACTATTTTGTTTTTATCTATTATTTTAAATATTTATACTGCTATAGACATATTTTTCCACTATTAGTTCTAGAACCTCTTTTATATCAGACCTCTAGACATCTTCTAACAACAAGGCCTTTGCTTCTATTATGGCCTACTACATAGATGACAACTAGACTCTTCGGGAAATATTAGTTAATTTTGGGTTGTTAAGTGGTAAACACAACAAAACAAATATTTCTAACAGATTTTTTAGAGTACTCAATGATTATAATATTATATATATCAAAAGTATTTATACTTTTTTAGATTAAAAAAATTGTGTCAATTTTGCCCATTTGTTTATTATGGTAAATTTTTAAATTTGTGCTCAAATTAAGAACCTAAATTGCTATTTAATTTTCAATTTTATATATCAACTACATAACAAATTAATATAGTTATTGCATCAAACCTATCTATTTACCTTAACACTCCACCTTTTATAAGTAGTTTCTATTGTACAAGTATATTTCTTAAATATAATATATTAAATATATGCATCATATACTGCATTATAAATTTTAGAATAATTAAAAATTCGCCATAATATTCTTATAAATTGTTATTACTTAAAACAATGCATTGACTTTTTTTTTAAAAAAAAAAGCTTCTTGCTATTACTCTAGACAATGTAGCAAATAATGGTGTCTTTGTTCATGAGTTAGCAATAAAATTACAGAAAGAAGCAAATTTTAAATGGAATTTGGAACATCTTTGTTTCTGGTACTTCAACTATATTCTCAATTTAGCTGCACAGGCAGCTCTAGATCAAATCAAGGATGATGTTTACAAAGTAGTCTAATTTTTTTTTTTTTTTAAAAAAAAAAATTGGCATGCTAACAGTGAAACAACTAGATTCAAGAACTTAGTTCTGCTATTTGTACAACACCCCAATGTCTTGGGCTCTTTGAAAATGTATATAATACATACAGTATTAAATTTCATAAATCTATTTTTGATTGCCTAACTAGGTGGAATTCTACCCATAATATGGTTAAGAATGGGCTATCTCTTAAACAAGTAGGCATTGTATTCTTAATTATTTTTTTTATTTTATTTTTATTTTATTTGTAATTTTTTTTATAATGTAAATTTAAAAAATTATCATGGTAATCACACAAATAATGTGGCTCCTATATAAAATTTATAGATATTTAATACTCTTACTAGTTCTTATGACAATCTTAATCACTATGCTATTTCATGTTATCAATGGGTTACTTTGAAAAAAATTGTCAAATTTCTTAAACTATTCAAGAATCTTATAACTAAAATATCATCCAGTACTTATAGCACAGCTTTTTGGGTTATTCCTCTCTTCAATATAATTATTAATCATATCAAAGATATAGTCTCAAATACTGAAATGCAAGATTAATATTAGATAAACTTTTATGTTACTTACAAATAACTAAATTCAATTATTAGTTTCAGCACTCTCCATAGTGGCTACAGTAGCAAAAGAAAAGTTAGTTCAGTATTACTTCAAAACAAACACAACTATGCAAATGCACCACCTACCGAAGAATTTATCCAAGAGTTTATCACAACCCACATCAAAAAACAAATTCCACTCAGCTTTATAAACTCAAATACTTCAACAAAATTAGGAATGCTCTCTCAAAACACCACATTAATTCCACAAATTTACCACACAATCATCAAAAACATACATGAAAAAATATAGAAACCTAGCCAAATAAATTCACAACAACCTATATCAAATCCTTTAATTATCATTTCACCTACCATAAACTATACCCCTTTTCATTCATTAGATAGACAATTTACACTATGGCTTAATAATTTTATTCAACACAACTCTATATCACCCCTTTCAAATTACGTAGTCTAGAGGTTTTTTAACCATTCTAGCTAAGAATAGGTTGAGGGTAAATCCTAGCCCTAACTTCTACTCCCTTTCATTAAATATATAAATTTGTACGGTTGTATCTAATTATATATTTTGAAATAAAAGAATAGAGTAAAGACCTCTCTTAAAAAAAAAAAAAAAAAAAAAAAGTAAAACTTTCTGACCAATCATCTCTCTCTTCTGACTTTAATAATAACTCATCTTTAAATACAGAACTTGATATTCACAAATATTTAAATATAGTCACCCACAATGTACAAGGATTTACCAACATACTCAAACTCTAAATTTGGCTCAAATTCTGTGCTGCAAATAATTATCACATCATTTCAATTACCAAAACTAAATTAAAAGATTCAGTATCAACATCCCTCTCAAATCTATATTACAATATATATACATCAAATTTCTTTCCAAAAAACAAAATACAACTTAAAGCAAGCCTTGATACTGCAATTGCACTATATAAAGCTCTACAACTGTATATCTACAACATATAAACTTTTTCAGACACTGCACTATGTATTGGCTTCCATCTTCTATCCAACAACATACTTTGACTTATATCCTTGTACCTACCTTCTAATCACCCTGACCAATCAACTTCGACCCAAAACACAATTGCAAACTGGTTTCTTGAAGCAAGATATAAAAATTAGTACACCATTACTCTCGGAAACTTTAATAATAATACTAAATACTGCAAAAGAATTTCTAAATTATTCTCTACTTTGCAATCCTTATTATCCTCAAGCCTCTTAGATTTTTCTCAGTTACAGAACCTACCTGAAAACAGGGCTCTCTACAAAGTCAAATCGACAATATTTGGATTAATGCAAAAATTATACTTAACTTCAGCTCATCTATACTAATCGATCCAATCAGAATTACTGACAGTGATTATAAGATCATTCAAACTACATAGACAACTGACTTTAATCTCAAACTCCCAAAGTCTAAGAAAAAGAAAAGAAAAATCTACTTCTATGAACAAATGAATTCTGACTTGTGGCAAGATTTTTCTAAAGCAATAAAAAATGAGTTTTCAACTTTAAACATCTCATTCCTCCCTACAAACTATAACCAGCTCAACAAACACTGAAACAAATAGTTAAACACAATTAAGAAGATCATTAACAAAGAAATACCAACAATCCTCAAATCACGAAAAACCTTTCATACCTTCTTAGTAAAAGCTACCAAGCTTCATATAGCACTCAAAACAATTAATAATATACTCTAAACTGCTTGCACAATTTAATCCCCACATTTACCTATCTTTGTAGCTCAGACTATTAATATCTTTTTCAATCAGATAAATGCTCTAACCAAAATACAAACAACATCTTGTCAACTTATAGATCTAATATCAAACTATAGCCACTTTCTTATGGAATTAAAAAACTTGAAAAACACTATATGAAAAGCCCAAAGCATGAAAACAAAAGTAGCACAAAAAGAAAAAATAAACTTCTACATTTAGTAATGTTATAATGACATGGAAACAAATATCTCAAAAATGATTAATAGCATACTAAGTTGCAGGAAAGCAAACATCTTATATGATAAAATAATTACTTCTGATAAAATAATCACAGACCCTAAAGAAATAAAACAAGCAACAAGAGATCACTTCAACAACTGGACCAAGTCTAATCCAACAAATCCGAACTTTGAACATGAATAGACACCTTATCTACAACTCCTTCCCAACATCTTACCACATATTTACAACAACTTCACCCTATCTATAATCTATGATGAATTAACCCACTTAATCAATGCTGCCTCTACACATAAAGCCACAGGACCATCTGGAATATCCAACAAAATACTAAAACACCTACTTTATATTGCAATATCATCACTACTCCTAATCTTCAATATATGTCTAGAGCTAGAACAGATACCAAAAGACTGGGGGATAGCAAATATATAGGCTATTTCAAAAAAACAATATTACAACAATGATCTAAACTACACATGCTCTATCACACTAATTAAACATGTATGAAAAATTTTCACAAAAATACTAACACTTCATTTAAACTATGCACTCAACAAGCACCAAATTTTTCAAAAAACAACAATGTAGCTCTTCCATACACCTCAACTCTCCAACCTATTCAGACTGTAACACATATTATCAAATATGCAAATATTACTAACAAAGAATACTAGATTCTAGCACAAGACATGTCAAGGCATATGACACCATCCACATCCCTCTTCTTATAAAAACTCTACAAAGAATTCAGATTCCTACAAAATTTACTAACTTAGTTATTTCTTAAATAGCAAAAAAAATATTATAATAATCAATATCGGAATGACTGAACCCTACACAGTACAAGATAGAATCGAATAGGGAAAAATCTTCTCTCTAATACTCTGGAGAATCTACTATGATTTATTAATTAGTCGAATTAATACTGTTTTCTAAAAATACATGCTAGATACAAACACACAATATCAATATATGCTTTAGTAATAGCTTATATAGATGACATGGTGTGGATCGCCAAAAGCAAAAACAAACTACAAGATATACTCAAAATAGTTGACTCTTTCTTATCACATGCAAGTATTAAAGTTAACCCACAAAATCAACGTTAATATTAATAACCCTGATCCACAAGCATCTATTACCTTTTGCAGACAAACTATTACCAATATAAAACCAAAAGATATCTTCTGCTATCTAGGGGCGTAGCTTACCCAAGACCCCTTACTAAGAGCAGCAAAAGCTATTATTATGAATGAAATTATCACTAATATCAACAAAATTTAATATACAAAAATTACAGATAAACAAGCTATCTATATCATTAACAACATGATTCTTACTTGGGCTGTTTATTAAATACAAAGCACATACTTAACAAAA